TTGCAACATTAAATAACAGCAGAAACTAGAGCTGTCTTTATTAAATTCAGGGAGTACACTATTGAATGAGCAGGGATCATTGAGTGCAATTTAAATTATAAAAACAAGTGAATACAGGAGCTAAGAATTGTGTTTTTAAAATCTAACAGGTAACAAAAATCAGACAGGAGAATATAAAATACTAGTAAGAATTCTTCAGTGATTATATATATGACTGAAGAAGACTGGGAAGTAGGGGAAAGTTCATAGCTCATCCAGTAACCACTGACTCCATATAGCAGCATTCATGGATTTTAGATCCTATAATTTCATGTAAGGGAACCAGACTGTGTATGTCATGGATATCTTAGAATCATCACATAAGATAATTGAATCTGTTATCTGCTTAGTTAAAATCATCATTATGGAGAATCAACTTTGGAAAAAAATAGGTTATCTACTAAGCAAAGTCATCTAGATTTAGGTTCAAATCTACAATCTTAAAGTTATCAGCTGACTCAGAATTCATGCTTCCTGCCTGCCACTATTAATATTACATAATTTGGAGGAACAAAGTCAAAAAACAAAACAATATGAAGGATAGCAAAAAAGTAAACACAAATTACAAAAATCAGAAATGTTAAACCATCAAGAAACAAAATAGTTCAAGTAGTTGGGTGACAATAAGGGAGCTGTCTAAAACTACTCATAAAACTGAGGTTTTTATAAACAAGGTTATAGAGATTCAGTGGTTAAGTAACTTGTCCCATTATATGAAGCTTATAGATATCAAAAATAAGATTAAAATTTAGGCCTTCTGACTCCAAAACCATGATGTGCCTAGAGCTTGCAACATTTTGGCATATCTCTCAGATTCATACACTTTTGTTGGAAGTGAAAATTAGTACAACAACTATTTGAAAACCAGTGTGGCAGTTTTGTATCAAAATCATAAAAATTTCAATAATCTTAGACCCCATAATCACCTGTCTAGAATTCTATTCTGGGGAACTATTCCAATATGTGGAAAAAAATGTACATGAACATATTCATGGCAACATTTTAATTAAGAGAGCAAAAGTTGCAAGCTACTCAAATGTTCCACAATAGAAAAGTGGTTAAATGATATTTGGTACATAAGGCATATGATAGACTTTTAGTATTGATATAAAAAATGGGAAAATATTTATATGTGACTATAATGTTAGAGAAGAAAAGTAGTTACATAATTATATTAACTACATGTAATAAAAATACAGGAAGGGATAAACACAAAAAATCCCCAATTGTGTGAGGGTGATAAAATAGCAGGTTATCTATTCTTCTGGTTTCAGATATTTATATATTTTTAAATGTTTTTAACCTCATGTCAAGTGATCTCATACAGAGTTCAAAGTTTATAGGTTGATAAAATCTATCATCAGGATAGAATTGAATCATGAAGAAATAAATTGAATGAAGAGGAACTTTCAACTTTCAAAGGTGCAGTGTGACTTATGAATACTATATTACCTCAATTCCAAGTTAAGAATCACTAAATAAGCATGATGTTAAACTCCAAGTATTTTTTTCTGTTTTTCTGAATTACCCTATCCTCCATCAAAAAAAAAAATGTAGTAAATAAAATTATTATTTCACTGTGAAGATCATAACTTCTCCAGCTCTTTTTTTCAATATGCCAGAAAGAGAAATAATGTGTGGATTTTTTAGATTTATCACAGGTTTTACCTGATGCAGCTAGTATTTGTGTTTCCTCACAATCAGTTACTTCCAAACATTTTATCTTTTACTTGGGATGTTTAATTTTGTGGTGATTCATCAGAAAATTAAACATTCAATATTTAACCTAAGTGTCCATCAACAGACGAATGGATAAATAAGATGTGGCACATATATACAATGGAATATTAACCATAAAAAAAACAAAAATGAGTTATTTGTAGTGAGGTGTATTGGACATAGAGACTGTCATACAGAGTGAAGTAAGTCAGAAAGAGAAAAACACACCCCGTATACTAACACATATATATGGAATCTAAAAAAAAAAAGGTTCTGAAGAACTTAGGGGCAGGACAGTAATAAAGACGCAGAAGTAGAGACTGGACTTGAGGACACGGGGAGGGGGAAGGGTAAGCGGGGATGAAGTGAGAGAGTAGCATGGACATATATACAGTATCAAATGTAAAATAGATAGCTAGTGGGAAGCAGCTGCATAGCACAGGGAGATCAGCTTGGTGCTTTGTGACCACCTAGAGGAGTGGGATAGGGAGGGTGGGAGGGAGATACAAAAGGGAGAGGATATGGGGATATATGTATACGTATAGCTGATCATATACAGCAGAAACTAACACACCATTGTAAAGCAATTATTCTCCAATAAAGATGTTAAAAAAAATTCAATATTTAGAAGTCCAGAATTTGTATTGAAATCTGTGTTTGTATCGAAATCTGTAATTTGCTGAATTTAATCACACTCAACTCCCTCAAATATATATATTTAACTAACTTAAAATAATCTAGCTAATTAAAGAAAATTGGCTAGATTATTGCCTAAATTGAAGCAGAGACCTAGAAATCAGATATATCACTGGGAAGGAGAAGGATACACATTTGTTCATCCAACAACATCTCATCAAATTTTGTAGTTTGAAAATAACTTAGATTTCTTCAGTTAAAAGTATGCTCGAGACCAAGAAAGATAAGTTAGTTCTTGGAATTGGGTCTAATGGGGCAAACATAGTACAGAAGGCAGTGTTAGAGCATTTCAGCTTAATCAAACAAATTTCTGAAGTTCAGACACTCAACTGTATGCCAGGTCAAATCTATGAAGAGACAGGGATGAGAAATAGAAATTTGTTTATGATTATCTTATTAACCATATATATATATATATATATATTCATATTCAAGATCTGTGTAGTTGTGTCAGGCAGTGTTTAATTGCAAAGAACTAAATTACTCTAACTAGTTTAAGTAAGAAGTGTTTTATTATAAGTATTAAATGGTTTACAGAATTATTGAGTTAAATTACCAGACTCCAGGGTGATCTTTCAAAAGTAACTGTTAAAGCTAGTCAATAAGACTAAGCCACCAGGAAGACACTGATGTCTTCTAAAAACAGGAAGTCTCCAGCCCTAGTCCCACACTCCACTGCCATGGTTTGGAAGCCACCATGAACAAAATGGCACCACATTCAGGAGCCTCTGTGATCTGGAAGCCTCTGCTATTACTGCCTGTTCCAGAATCCTGCCATGTTTGCTATAATTTGCACCAATAAGATGGATGTCTTGTGCCTGGCTCCTTGACCCCCATAAAGCTAATGGTTAGACAATAAGCCATTCATTTTTGCTGCCACAGTCAGGGGGTGGAGGGGAAAGGAAAAATAATGTCTCCATTACTAAACTCATAGGCAAAAGAAACAGAATTTGTAGAAATTCACTGTCCATTTCATTTTTACTTTCAAATACCAGGCATGGCATCTGACTGGTTAAGCCTAAAACATATTCAGAGCCCTAACTGCAAGTGAGTCTTGAAAGTATGATTTTTATCTTTGCATCTCTTAAGTCCAGGAAGACACTAGAATGAGGGTGAAATGGATGCTGAAAGCTAAAATACCATATCCCTTTTGTTACTCAACATCCATATACATCCTTCTCCCCATTCAACAACTCCCCAAAAGCAACAACTGGCAATGACAATGCTCCATTGTGCAAATATCTCTTAAACAAATGAAAATGTACCCACCATCTCCCTAAAAGGGAAAGCCAAGGAAATTTCCATTAGTCAATCTGTCCATCTCCTGTAATGAACTACATTAGAAATTTACCTACCCACAACACTCTATCATAAGATAGGAAGGGACCCAGGTTATTTAATATTTAGATATAAAACAGTATAAGGAAGAAAATATGGCTCTTACAGTCTTCATTTCATAAGACTGCAATTATAATTTGTAACTTTCTTCCCCCTCTACCCATTTCTTATACCCTTTGTCTTTAGCCATCATCTAGGCTGGTAGATGCATTTTAATATGGTACAGTGACTCAATTTTTTTTTTTTTTTCCTGAGAGGTAGCCAAGGAACTGGTAGTCCTAGGCATGCTCCAGAATATCTCAAGTTCCAAACAAACTCCTCACTGCCCAAATTTTGTAGCATCAACCTTAGGTAAGCCAGAATCTGGAAAATGTGATGTTTGGTTTTCTAGCCTGCAGAGTAGAAAAAGCACTTGAAGGATGATGAAATGTTTGCAGCAGTCCACTTCTTTCACCACAGTAATTAATTGGAGAAAGAAGAATTACTCTTCCATTATTTTTACCACAGTAAATAAGTAGGGGGAAAAAAAACTACTCTCTTGTGCCTTTATGCATGGTTAAATTCCAGTGTCTGAATACAGTTAAGCTTTAGGTACACAGAGATAATTATTGAATCTCATAAAGGGATCAAGATCTGTATGAGACCAGCCACCAAGAGCTCATAACCAGGGAAGATCACCTCAATGCACAAATTGTGCTTTGACAAAGCTCTTCCCTTCTGCCGCCCTCCCATATCCTAGCAAAGCCATTTCTCTGCATTTAAACCATTCCAAATTATCATGAGTGTTCTGTCGCCTCTCCTCTGTTAAATCCATCCAGCTGTGTGATTCACATCTGTGTGGGGCCCAGGAGGAAATATTTCTCATGCCTCTTTCTCAAATAATTCATTAAAAGCCTCATGGCTTTGAATGGGAAATGGTTCTGATGACCTATGAGAAAAGAACTTCTTCCATTTCTTTGAATGATTCTTCATACTACCAGGTTACAAGGTAGCACCTTTCGTTGCTTTGCTAAGTTGCTGCGGTTTACACAGATGCAAATCATGCAGTGGCCAAGATAGTGATTTTAGCCTCGTTAGTAGAACCTGTTAATTGGATGATACAGGAGTGATTTCCCAGGGATGGGTTTGAGAAACATCCAAAGGGTAAAAAAAAAATCAACAATCGTAAGCACAGGAGAAACTTTAAAATTAATCTTTCATGTTGACAGATTGGCTATCGGAAAGACATGGAACAAGAAGATGCAGCAGAAACCATCAAAACTAGGGGGAATGAGTCATCTGTCATCCTGACAGGATTAGAAGGAAACACATTATATCACTTCACAGTGAGAGCTTATAATGGAGCTGGATATGGGCCACCTAGCAGTGAAGTGAGTGCAACCACAAAGAAATCCCGTAAGTGACCTGGGCTTTTTGTTTGTTTCAGACAAAAGGGAAACATCTTTTAACATTTCTGAAAGCCATGTGAGGTACATAAAAAGCAGAGCTGAAGAGGAGTTTTGATTTATAGTCTTGCTTCATGCTTAGATCTGAATTCCAAAACTAGCTCAGAAAATTTTGTATTCATAGTAGATAAGGGTTATCTTCCTGTGAAACAAGGCTAAGCGATTTTGACACAGAAGGGAGATAAAAGGATTCAGGTTCAAAAACTCAGCAGAGTAGCTATTAAAATGACACTCCTGGAGCAAAACCTTCCTTATCTGACTCTAGCTGGAAAGAAGCCTATGGTGCCAGTCAACTAGAAAAGACTGATGTACTCACAAGAAAAGACTGAACACAAGAAAAGACTGAAATACAAGGATTTAAGTGAATAAATGTATTTAAGACTCTTTGTCCACTCACTTTTACTTTTTATTTTGTAGCCCCCAGTCAAGCACCTAACAACCTCAGGTGGGAGCAGCAAGGCTCTCAGCTTTCTCTGGACTGGGAACCTGTCAGACCATTAGCCAACGAGTCTGAAGTCATGGGCTACAAGGTTAGTGTTTTTTCACTCTTTGGATAGACTCTCATCTAAAAAATTGCTTATGTAAGGATGTGCAATTTAAAAGGTGTATAAAGACCTATTAACATACCTATTTTTTTCTCAATCATTTTTCTACCTGTATGTTAGAAAGAGCCTTCCTGCAGCGGGGAATCCAAGGCAATCCAAATCAGTTTCAGCTACACAAGGCACAAGAAGGGAATGGGTAGGAAAGACAACAAGAATTTGAATACAGGGTAAAAATGGCTCATGAAACAGTGTCAGGACAAGCAGAACTTAGAGAGTCTTGGCATTCTCTTCCCAAAGACAAACTGTCCTGGCAGATGGAAAAGACCGGACCACATAGTTTGAGTAGAAAGACTTTCCATTAGCAAAGAAACACAAGAAGAAAAAATGCTAGCGTCAGCACAGGGGATAGGAAAGAGACCATGGAGAGAGACAGCAAACTCCAAAATAGATACAACATTTCACATATGGTCATCCTGCTATGTGCCAGCAAGAGATCTGCAAATATAAAAATGTTTAGGCAGTTTGTTTTTGAAAAACAGCTTCATCTCTGATTTTAAAATATGTGGTCAATATATTGAATTGGCTGAATTTCAAATTCTTTTTCCATAACATCAGATTCTATTTATTGTCTTAAACTCATACTGATTCATTAGTGGAATATTATTTATAGCAGATTTTTAAAAAAATTTCAAGGATAATATTTGACTGAAAAGCATCATTTAGGTGGCTGTTCAACTATCAGAGATGGTAACACAGCACTTTGTATATAAAGTGCTAAAATTCTGAAGCTAAAAACTGAAAAAGTTATAAATGGAATATATTTTTAAGTTAGATAATTCCCATTAAGAATATCTTAAGGCACAAACTGTAGCAATTCTTACAGACTGTGATTGGTATGGATCATAGACATCCTCACAATTAAACACACTCAAATCTGTCCTAATCCTCGTGGGTATTGAATTTGATCTTTGGGGGGAGGGCAGATGTGCCATCTTCTGTACCCTTCTCTTAGTCCTCTTCTTTCCACATCCTTCCCCTCATGCTCACAACTTGTATTCTAAGGTAAAGATACCCTTCAATGATTAAGGGTAGCAGCCTGGCCAGAAATGGTGATGGACCAACCGAGAACCAATCTAATGTCATTAGAACTCTAGCAAGCAATCTCCCAAACTGGAGAGGCAAATAGACGCAAGAAAGAGCTAGATAAAAGCATATGACTGCCTAGAAGAGCCATTTGGCTTCAGGCACCTTTCGGGTGAGAAAAGAAATACCATACAACATGGAGAATACATGAGCCTCAGCATAGGGCTCCCAGGTGGGATGACCCTTCTTGTTGCTCGCATTTGCCACTTCTACTTCTGTCATTGCTTACCTCTTTACATGTGACTGTCTCCCCAAGCTGTTTATATATGATTGAAAGCAAGGCCTCTGTTTTACTCATCTCTTTATCCCTAACATTTCTAGAGTGGATGAATAAATTAATTTTTGACCCAACTTGAGGTATTTTATGCAATCACTCACAAGTGTGTATTATCAGCTGTTTTTCCTATCATGGCCTTCCCATATGTTGTGGTGGAATGGGAAAAGAGAACTGGCTTCTGAGTCAGACAGACTTGAGTTCAAATCCCAGTTGTGTAACTTTGAGCTAGTTGCTTAACTTGAGTTTCATTTTAACTTCGAAAAAATGCAAAAATAATGATAACTTATTATACAGATTATTTTAAGGATTAAGTAAGATAATTTGTGTAAAATGCTTAGCATATAAGAAGTGCTCATTGAAAAATAGCTACTGTCTTTCTTATTGTTATTGGAAGAATTCCACCTAGTAAGGTGGAATTTTAAAATATTTTAACAGAAGAAACTGATCTTTAAAAGTTGCCTGCCAGTTCTGTCTCAATGAAGACAGCACAGGTCACCTGGAATACATTGTTGTGGAGGGGGTAATCACTAACATGGTCCATCTTAGTTGTATAAATAATGACAAGTAGGTACATGTTGACAGAGGATTTTTTTTTCTTTTATTTCCTTGAAATGGTCTCACCTCCTTATGTCCCTGAGAAAGAAAATCTAGTTCCTAAGAAAGGACTCTGCTGATAACAAATGGAGTGAGACCTCAAAGCCTGTTCTTTTGTAACTAAACCTTATTAGAACTTCTGATGTATGGGCTAATCCCCAGTTAGAGACCTACTGGCAGGAATGACACAAAGTGCCCTGTGAGGGAAAGGGGACTTCACATTGATGATTGAGGCTTAACATAGAGCCTGGATTCTCCTGGGAAGGTCTGGTTTTCACAGGGAAGGTGACTAAGCATGAAAGCTCCTATTGACACAGGCATAATGGAACAGGAATATGATTAGAAACAGTAGCTGTGAATATTTACTAAAGAGATGGAACCCAGAGGACACAAGCTTGGAGCCCCCTTTACTGAGCATGAGTTGGAGAACTACTGCAGCCTTAGGCAAGGATCTGCATGCAGTGAAAGAGCTGTACCATCTGGAGGGAGGTTCACACAAATATGGAGTGGCTAGTATAGTACTCAGAGGGAGAAGACTTTGATTCCTACTACATCCCTAAAAATCTACTGCTAGACCAAGAATGGCACCACTCTTAAGAGCCCCATCTTCTTAAACATAACTGTATGTGGCTGTCACAAAAAAATTAACAAAATTAGGGACATGTCAACACACTAATCTTTTCTCTTTCCATGAGGTAATTTGAGGTAAGCTTGCTGTATTAAGACTAAGTTTGCCTCTTGAGATTCTTGGAAAATTTGCAGTAGAGGATTTCCTGCTAATCAGGGCAAGAACTTCCACAATTAATTGCAATATCAAAAGGAAAGTAAATTTATTTTTACTTTTTGTCCTGGCCAAGTTACTTTGCTTGTAAAATCAAAAGAGATCACTAGAAATATACATCGTATGTAAATTTGAAGCTGGAAACTAGGAGTTAATGCCTGAGGTTTAAAGTGCAGGGATTGTATATTCCATGTTTTATATCAAGTCCAGTTTAAGATGGATGAATTAAGAAAAAGTCCTCATCTAGAAATTTTCCAGATTGTGAAAATGATTGAAATGTGATAAATATGGAGAAAAATGGATTTGTTCCATAGGCTTGATCCATAAATAATCCATTAAACTATTCTTTTTTATAGTTAAGATATTATATACTGGATGCAATTTATTCTCAAAAAAATAAACCACACACACACAAAAAAAATAAGATAATAAGATAAAACAGCAGAGCTTGGAATTAGACCAATCCATTTTCTAAGGAAGCATGAATCTTACTCCTTTACTTGATTCCACAGATTGAGGTGTCAGCAACATACATAAGGACAAGATATTACCAGAGAAAGATACAATAACAAGGGAGATTTGGTTCAAAGGTGTTAAGAGAAAAAGAAGGTCTCCCCACCACAACATCTTATCAGGGACTTCAAAAGTGACCAAGATTATAGTGAAAGAATGATGGAATTGAACCATATATGACAGTGTCACAGGAAACACATTAAAATTGAATCTATTCAGATAAATAGAATTAGCTAGTACTTAAATTTCTCACTGCTCTTTGAGACTGTCCAAGAGAACTTGGACTTCTTGGGATTTTATTTAAGAAGTCCAGATTTAATAGTAATACTTTTAAGATATCACAGCTTCTATTAACAAGCAAGAGGAATAGAAGCATGAAGAACAAGAAAAATGCTGGAAAATAATTGTCATTTGTAGACATGGCTATAAATTATTTCCACTCAAACAAAATAGCTTCCCACCTAAAAATATGAGTCAAATTTGGGAGTTTATTTAGCATATTCATCATTTCTTCAGCTCATTTTAATATTTGACTTTACATTTCCCATCCCAATTCAGATTAGCTGCATATTTTCTTTATATATATATATATATATATATATATATATATATATATAAAATCAGGAAAGTGGAATAAAAACTTCAAAGAAATTTCCTGATTTAACTTATTTTTCCCAAATAAGTATTTTTAAATGAAGAAAACTTTGTTTTTATGACTCCACTAGCTTGGGGTCTGAATCTAGAATCCTTACTAATTTTGGCACATGTTATGTCTGTTACTACCACTTCCAAAGAAATGCCAATGACAAAACTAAAGTATATTTAGCCATAATTCTCCTTAATGATCTTGAGAATGGAGAATTTTTTTCTTTGTACTGTGAAAGAAACTTACCAAGATTATAAAGTAAAACAGCCATCTTATCCCCACCTTATTCTCCTTATACAGACTTAAACTTAAGTGAAAGAGAAAATAAATGCTAAATATCCAGGGGCTATGCTTTCCTTTGTACAAATATCCCCTTCCCCACCAAGACAGACTTCTGTCCATTCAGAAGACAAAAGCACTCAAAGGGAATTCAGGATAAGGGCTTCAGGCTACATATCAAGAAAACAGGGTCTCATTTTTCTGTCTATATCTAGAAATATCCTTTCCTGGATATACGACCTCTTCACCATACATCTTCTCCCTCACCTCTACTTTCTGGTATTTATAGAGCTAGGGAGAGTATGGGGAAAATCAGGCTCAAAGCTTACTAGTTATTATATGATCCATCAATATAGACAGAAATTTTTGTTTGTTTATTCCATTTAGATATCAATTAGGGCCTGCCAGACTCCTGAGATATAGGTACACTTGAACTGAAATTGTATTCCACAGCCTGTGGAACTTTGAAGTCCATCCCTATATTTCTCCAGCTTCTCAGGGAGCCTAAGGTCTGTGGCCATTCTGGTCTCCTTAATTTCTTGTATCTTACAGCTGTTCCTTTATCTTATATTTACTCCAAATATGGGACTCAGCCTCTTTCCTGTGATCCCTACAAGTTAAAAAGACTCATGTATAATGGTTTATACCATCATTTCTATATTTGATTATGCTTATATGTTTTCATCATAAAATATTTTTTAAAGATTAAAACAGAAATGGCTTGTATAATGTCAAGTATATACATATACAAGGAAGACTTTATGGAAATGTCAGTGGGAGATAGAGTGAAAGGCATAACATACAAACAAACATCTGAAAATTGCCATAGGAACTCCTGTTCTTAAAAGTCCTTGTAGTCACCCTACAGCTTGTGGCTTCTCACTGGTACTTGAGCCTCCCACCTTATTTTCACCTAGATTCTACTATCTTGCTGATTCCTCCTCACCCACCCATTGCCACTGGGGCTTTGGATTCCTCACCCACTTTTGTGAAGAACAATCGTACCCAAGATGCTAAGCAAGTGAATAGCCCTTCCATTTAATAGGATCCATCCTTCCAATGACACTTGTGGGTGAAACCAGCAAAAATTTATTCTGCTATATTTTTAGGCACACTCACACCATTATTGTTACTATCAGACATATAAACTAGCCATTTCTAGATCATGCCTTTGAGAATAACAGGACTGCACTAAATTTTTGTTTAGGATCATCTCTTTGGCTAAGTTTTTTTAAGTAGAATTTGAGAATAGTCTTGACAATAGACAATTTTCTTTATGCCTAGAGATAGCCATCATTGCAACTTCCAATCTATAAATGTCCGGATTCTCAAAGTACTCCCTGGTCTTCTTACTGTCAATAACTATTTCTGACATGTCTTGATAACTCCTTAACCTTCTCATATTTCTCATTCGTAGTCATGTCTTCTAAATCAGTACTTTAAAATGAGCAAAGATTCTCTAAATCACCCAAGACTAACCATTAATTTAATGTATCTTTTCACTTAGTATACCTACTTATTGACTCATAGCACTACATCTTCCTGGATGTATTATTTAAAGCCACATTTAATCTCAAACTTCTTCTGCTACCATTAACTGATATTTTCCTGCCTTTACCTTTGTTCCTAAATCTCAACTGATCCACACATTTTTCTTCAACTCTGGATTTTACAGCCACATTAAATATGCATTATTGACTGCATTTTTCTTTGTCATAAGAATTGTAATTTATTGAACCATAATAACAAAGTCCTCTAAAATAGTCATTCCCCTGCCAATCCTCACCAATTTACATACTTTTTCATTGCCATAAATTTGCTTTCTAATTACCTCATGTGGATGAACAGAATTCTAATTCAGTATGCTGCTACAGTCAAAATGAGAAGCATAAATTCTGATACAATTTTCATTTTTTAAAGCCAAAAGAACGTGCTATAGGCATCCTCCTAGAAATGTTTCTGATTCCCAAATCTGTACCACTCTGTACATGGCTATAGCATCAAATATGTTTCCTACTGCAGCATATAGCACACTCAGTTGCACTGTTTATCTGTCTCCACTGTTAGACTGTAAGTGCCATGAGGGGACCATATAGTCTTATTCTCTGATGAATCTCCAGTATATAGCACTGTGCCTAACTCACATGAGATACCCAGTAAAATATTTGATGTTGCTCTTGCCACTTCCCAACTATGTTAAACCTATGGCATCTTCCCTATAAGAATTTCAGTAGATAGAATTATTGCACATATTTTATACTTTTACAGAGAATTTACTTCTCTCCCAAGACTCCGAAGTAAATTTAAATCCATGAAAGATAAAGAAAGTAAATGGAGGCAGCATACTTTACCAGAATGCAGAAAGGAGGATCGAGTACAGGCACGCTTCAATATATGAAAATATTACTTTTCTAAAGTATTTTTTTCTTGTATGTAGGTTAGTTCAAGTTCAAAACACATTTTTTTTTTTTTTTTTTTTTGGCGTAG